CCTCCGGTATCGGATGCTGTGCAGCTGGAAGGATTTTGACTGAAACTTTTTTAGTTTAAGACATTTGTTATGATGCGTAACCATGGAAACAAGGCAGTTTTCTACAACCAACAGCAGCTGATTAACATCTCAAAAGCTCAAATAATATCTCAACTACAGCCCCAAATCTCAAATGAGTTGAAAAGGATGTTCTGTGGATGCATTCTCATCTACCTGCCAGCTGTGCTCATGTGCCTGACCACTGAGATCCTGGAAAAATGGGTCATGACAGCGGAAGGACAGGATCGTCCCTCGGCACCTACAGTTGTTTGTCCGCAGTGACGAGGAGCTCGGCAGACTGCTGGGAGGAGTGGCCATTGCTCTGGGAGGAGTTCTGCCCGAAATTCGGGCGGTCCTACAGCCCGGGGGAATCGAGAGGCCAGCCGAGTCTGGGTGGACGAATCGGACAGCATCTGAAGCCAGTTTCTTAGGATCCACTGTGGGATGGACCTTTACAAGAGATCCTTCCTGCCTACAGCCATCAGCATCTAACATCTCTTAATGAAATGAGGATAACAAGTTACAACAACAAATTATTTCCCTTTGGGATTAATAAAGTATTTTTGAATATGAATTTGAATTGAATTTGGTATTGTGGATTCATGACATAACTTAAGCCCCACCTACGCAGAGAAAAAAAATGACACTTCCAGCTTCGCACTGTGTAAGATATTAGACTGAAACTTTGTTCGCTAACTGTTGATTACCACACATGACATGTTGAAAAGCATAAAGGAAGTGCTTGTCAAACATTCGCCACAAAACAGGAAGTCACCATAACTCCTGTCTGGAAGGTCAGATTTAGCCTATACTTGTAAGACCTGCAGCTGGACAAGTAACAAGATGGACGGAAGGCGATGTTGAAGATTTGGGAAATGCGCCCGTAGTCAACGCGTGCGGGATTGGCTCAAAAGCGTTCGTGATGGCAACTGGGTGGACTAGCTAGAGCTCACGCAGTCGCCGTAAGGCCGGAGCGGCGCTTTGTTGCGAGGGCCTCCAATGCTGCTTGAATTTGAATTTGAATTGCATCCGACATCCTGAGAAACTAAAGATCTATTTGAGCTTCCTTTGGAGTCAAACTTTGCTACATGGATAAGCTTATTTCCTTTACCTTGTATTTTTCATCCTATTCTGTATTATTTTTTTATTTTGTAAATACTTTATTCTAATTTGTTATTTTTCAAACACGCGCACAATATTGCTTATTACTGTCATAAATCTAAACTGAATATTTTACTCTATTCAGTAAAAAAAAAAATTCTATAAACTGTGTGCAGTTTCTTCTGTTGTTACTCACATTTAGGCTCCCAAGAATCCAGAGTCCTCTGATAGGGCCCAACATTTCTTCCTAGGTGTTAGCATTGGTAATAGTAGTTTTAGTAACTTACTTTTACCATATCAGCTAACTTGTAGGCAAAGTATTGTACATGAAGGAACCCACATAGTGGATCACATTTGGTTGGCTTTAGCTTCTATTTGGTTGGCTTTAGTTTCTATTTTGTTGGTCTTAGCATCTGTTTTGTTGGTCTTAGCATCTGTTTTGTTGGTCTTAGCATCTGTTTTGCTCATTCCTACTTCAATAATTACGGCATTATGTTCTTCAGCAGTCATACAGGACCCTCTCACCAAAAACACAGCTCATATTGTTCTTTTGTGTTGCTTTCTATGAGAAAGACCCAACTGATCAAACGTAGACATAAATGATTACAGCTCCTTTAGCCTTCTAGATAAAGTCCAACAGAACAGACAGGCTGAGAAACTGCAGCTGTTTCGTCACCCAGCTCTTCTCAGAAAGTCTCCCTGGCTACGATCAGCCCTGCATATTTTAAACCACCTCATTTCTGCTTCCACTTCCTTCTAAAACAGCAACAAGCATTTGAAATAGTTACACGCTCTGCAAAAAAAAAAAAAAGTCTGTTCGTCTGTAATCAAAAAACTATAGTGTAGGTCGTTGAATTAGTTGGTGCTGAATGACAAAACAACAGCTCTTGACCCTTGACCCCTTCTGCCATGGAGACAAAGACTCAAAGAAAAAAAACCCGAGCAGGAAGTCCCTGCTCTTCAGCTTCATGAGACAGTTCTGGATTCTCCACGAGGAAAAGGACAGAGCAGGAAGACAACAGTTGCTGAACTGCGTGATGCGTTACGATTCTTTGGCTCGTTCAGACGACCTGCAGTGCGTCAGAGAAGCTCTCCATATGACAACATGGAGAGGAAATCACTTGGAGGAAACAGCAGTGTAACTCACAGCAGTCAGACAGCTGCAACTAACGAAACACGGATCAGCAACAGAACCAGTTCTGGTGGTTTAATTAGTCGTTCAGAATAAAAACTGTATTTTAAATCACTTTTAACGCCTCAATCTGAAAAAAAAAAAAAAAACCTCTCAGTGTGACAAACAATGTCATTGTCTCATGAAGAATTACAGTAAGAGGAAGTTTTCTGTAAACAATAAACAGATTCAGATGAGTTTAGATTTCTGTCAGAATGCCTTTAAAACATCATGCTTAATAATCCAGACTTATTTGTTGTTACTAACAACAAGCAGTGCACTAACGTCCCTCATCGCTGAGGGTTTGAAGAGTGGATGTTTGGAGATTTTCAGGGGAGTGTTTTACTGTAATGGATTTTGACATGGCAACCCAGTTTTTGAAAAGAACCATTCTTAGGCCTAGATACAGCTGCACACCAAAATGAAAATGTATCTCCTTTACTTTTCAAGTTATAATGCTCACAACATGGACAGGGGTATTTCCAGTTCCCCTCTGTGCTCTAGAATGGAGAACAATAAATATCTTACATGTTATAGATAAGTCTGAATGGTCTCAGTTTGGAAAAAGAGTTTGTTTCTGACCAGACTGATGAGCCAACTAGTCTGAACGCATCTAAGACCAAACTGGATTGCTGCTGAAATAAAACAACTCCGATACAAAAAAAATGAAGTGATTCATGAACTTTTTATTTAATTTAAATTGGTCATTTGCAGTTTCAAAAGTGGAATTTTGTGGAGTTTTTTTAAGTTGTCCGTATCTTACCTGCAGCAGACAGATGAATTACTAGCCCAGCTTTGAGAATTAGAAAGAAATTATTTTGGGTGGTTATTACAACACATATCTACGGCTATTTAAACTGACGACCGTGTGTTACCCGTTTACTGTCAACAAAACTAATATTGGAAAAACAAACGTGAAGTCTAACCACTAGAAAGTTCCTGGAAAAACTTTTGATGAGAACTGCCACATGGCAGTCATTTTTTATTTTGAATTTGGCAGTACTATGTGTTGGGTTCGCTCTCAGCTACCACTATACAAATTTCAGCTCAATAAAAAATTTAATAAAATCAATGACTTATCGTATTTTTTTAAGCTATGGTGCTCTTGGATTTTTGATTTGGATTCAGTATGTGATGATGGGAACGTTCTCAGCTACCACCACAAACTTTAGCTTACTCTAAACTATAGTTTGTTTCAGTGAGAAAAATGTTTGCAAATTATGTTGCCATGGTAACTTGAAACACCATTAAAAGTAACAGAACACATCACGATGCTGAGCCCGTCATTTTGATATGAGTGTGTGTGGGGGGGGGGCATGTTGCGGTTTGGGACGCATCAACGTTGAAGGAAGAGTAAGACCCTTTTCAGGTGGATAATAATCGGGGGCTGCCTTCGGGCAGTCCCCAAAAGTAACAATTTGTTAGAAAATTAAATCAGTATAAAATAGTAAAAATAAATATTTGCTTGAAACCAAAATATTTCAGAGGTTTTTAGTACTTTTAGTAAAAAAAAATATCTGTTTTTATACCCATCCATCCATTTCTTTAGCCATGCTTCCTTCATGGGTGTTGGGGAGCTGGTGCCTACCACAGCAGTGACAGTGGAAGAGGTGGGGGACACACTGGACAGGTCTCCAATCACAGGGACACACAGAGACAAACATCTACCCACACCTACAGACAATTTAGAGTTGTAAAAACTTTTCTGAGGATTAATAAGGAAGTGATAAGAAACATTTATTGGTCGGGGTGTGGAAACCTGCGGCTGGACGTCTCTGCGTTGAGTATTTGTGATTGGCGTAAGAGCCGCGAGTCATTTGTGTGTTTGCTGTGATCCAGACACATTTCAACAAGTCGAGCAGGTTCTGGAGAGCGCAGGTCATCAACCAGGGCAACGGGGGCTCAAACATCAACTACTGATTAAAACTGCAAGAACTCTTCAAAAAGAATCCCAACCATCACTGCCACGAGGCGGACATTATGCAAAAATGTCCCATGATTGTAAATAAGTAACAGAAGACAAACCAGTTGTGAAAGTGAAGTGGTTCAGGAGCGTTCAGCAGCTGCTTGTTGTGGAGGGCGAGGCTTCATGTGGACTTTGTCAAACTTCACACAGAAAGGTTTGACTTTTGGATGTAGCTGCTCGTTTCAGACGGGCCAATAAAAAAATCAACAGACATGTTCCTGTTTGGAGTTCTCCTCGACTCATAACGTAGCTTGTGTTTATTTGGTTTTACATCGATACGTTTTACTTACTTTTCACTTGACGTGCTTTTTCTAACTGTTTATTGTTGTCTGTACCTCATCGGTGTTCTTCGTCTACAACAGGTCTCTTGTAAATGAGTCCTTGAAGCTCAATGTAGACATGAAAGTTGAATGAAAAAAGGAACTTTCCAGTTTGATTTATTTAATCAAGAGGAGGCTTGCAGACCTTTGTTCAGGCCCAGCTGTGTGAAGTTCAGGTGTTTTCAGGTGAGTTCAGGGCAGGTTTCCATGGCAACACAAGGACTGCAGCCCATAATGAGGCTGCACAACACAAGTTTATAGACTAATTCAGGGAGCGCTCCTTCTGGACCCACCTCCTCCTGAAGCTGCTTGTAACAACCAGCAGGTTGTTTGTGTTTACCTGTTGTTTACCGCCCGGTTGTTTGTGTTTACCTGTTGTTTACCGCGGGTTGTTTGTGTTTACCTGTGATCCTGCTGGTCGGCTCTCCGTGGCCTCTCCTCCTCTGCAGCAGGAAGAAGTCGTTACTCCTCTCCGTCACCCACAGCTTCAGAGCGTTCTTCAGCAGAACCTCCTCCGGGTTCAGCCACATTGTGCTCCCAGCAGGGAGGAACCGCAGGAACACCTCCGCCGTGTGTCGCCTCTCTGCTGCTGGGGGAGCTTCCCCCGCCTGTCCTCCGGTTCGGAACGGCTTTATTCGGACCTACAGCCGCGGGGGTTCGGGTTTCTTCATGACTGCCCTACAGCTTTAACAGCAGCAGGGTCCGGACTTCCCACCTCAGACCCGTCCGCTGCCTCACCCCTGATTTACAGCGACTGTATACACCGGACAAAGATCGTCCACAAGTGTGACGACTCACTCTGTTGTCACATTTCAGTGCCTAAAGTTGAGCCTAGTTGTTGCACTAGATCAGGGGTGTGCAACCTTCACGATCAAAAGAGCCATTTCTGCCCCTTCGTGTCTGGAGCCACAAAACTTGCTGCAACTGTGATTATCAACTGATGGCCCATGGGCCACTGAGTTTGTTGGAGGGGGGCTTTTCTGGCCAGTGGGGATGACATTATAAAACTAAAATTATATCGTGCATTTTAACATTTATTCATATTTTTACATTTTAAGACAATAAAAGACCATCATGTAAAGAAGGAAAATAATTATAGTTTATACTGATTTTGATAAAAATTAAAACAATTCAGTTCAGTTTATTAATATAGCACCAAGTCACAACAGAAGTAATCTCGGGGCACTGCACTGAACTCTGCAGGCCTATGGGAAGAATAATAAATATGGTAAGTATCGAGTGGGGCTACGGTTGATCGGTGGCCAGTGCTGCAATCTTGTAATCCTAAGGTTGCGGGTTCGAGCCCAGGTTGCATCAGGAAGGGAATCCGGTGTCAAACAAATTGAAATCTTTCGTGCATGTGGTCAACCCTGAAGAAGGGAGCAGCCAAAAGAAACTTACTACTCCAACAATGTCCTGCAGGATCAGTAAAATTCTTATCTTACTAGTAGTTATTGGACAAAATTTTACAAAAATTTGACAATGAAACTGCAAAAACTAGCCTTTTCTGTTGTAGGTATAAAAATCAATTCAACTAAATTTCATTAAGTTTTGGTAAAAGAGCTGCCGATGAGGGACTAAAGAGCCACGTGGCCCCAGAGCCGCAGGTTGCAGACCCCTCCCCATACTAGAACAACCTGCGGCTCTTACAAGCTTTGACCAAAACTAACATAAACCCAATTTCATTGGTTGTTATACAAACAGTAAAACAAGTTATAGCAGTTTTCCTTTGCAGATATGTGAATACTGGAACAAGTACAAGGAGTAAAACACACTCACTTTAACTTTATGCTTTATTCCATCCATCCATTTTCTTTACCCGCTTCTTCCATTTTGGGTCACGGGGGTCGCTGGTGCCCATGTCCAGCAATCACTGTGCGAGGGGCGGGGTACACCCTGGACAGGTCTCCAGTCCATCACACGGACACAGAGAGACAAACGAGACAAACAACCATTCACTCTCTCATCCAGGGACAATTTAGAGTTACCAATCAGCCTAACATGTATGTTTTTGGTCTGTGGGAGGAAACCCACGCAAGCACGAGAAGAACATGCAAACTCCACCCAGAAAGACCCCAAGTCCAACTGGGGATTGAACCCAGGACCTTCTTGCTGTGAGGCAACAGTGCTAACCACTGAGCCGTCAAGGCTTAACAGAGAAACAAAAACACTTTTATATTTTTATTATTTAAAACTTATCAAACTAGACTGAAAGACGTGTGGTCCCTCTCTTTGTAAAAAGAAACCAGAGGGTGAACTTGAACTACAGGATCTTCCCAACAGGTGGCTACTGAAGTGTTTCATAATTCAGGGTTGTGGTTTTTGTCCTGAAACTCTGGACCAGATCTTTACCTTTACAAGAAAATCTGAGTTTGCTCAGTTTATCATTGTGTATTTAGTTGACTTGGAGAAGCTAATGATCATTTCATGCCGTGTCCTGAGAGGGGCTATGCGAGTATGGGGTCCCCTCCTCTTACTAAGGGCCATTCGGTCTTAGACCGTTTGATTTACTGTAAGAAGTCTAACTTGTTTCCTGTAAGTGTTGGACTAATCTAGAGTCGCCTTTGTTACTGGTTCTGTTCACAACAATGTTTGGAGAGATTTCAGTCAACTGGTTGGAAGTTGGGACGCTCTCTGGTTTGGAGGCTTTTAGATTCCATTGAAAATGATATGACCTCGTCAGGCAGAGTCGCTGCTCCTCAGCATCGAGAGAAACCAGTTGAGATGATTCGGGAATCGTGAGAACGCCTGACAAGAGATGCTTGGGTGGGGTGGGGCTCAGGGCAGGTCTGGGACTCTGGAGTCCATCCAGGTGAACTAGAGGCATAACTGGGGTGTCTTGGACTGGTGTCAAAAAAATGGATGGAATTTTATTTTATTTTTTCAAGATCAAAGTTTTTTGCAGCACAGTGGCGCAGTTGGTAGAGCTGCCACCTCTCAGCGAGCAGGTCGCCCTGGTTCAAATTCCGGCCTGGGGCCTTTCTGGGTGGAGTTTGCATGTTCTCTCCGTGGGTTTTCTCCGGGTACTCTGGTTTCCTCCCACAGACCAAAAACATGCATGTTAGGCTGATTGGTAACTCTAAATTGTCCCTAAGAGTAAGAGAGTGAATGGTTGTTTGTCTCTATGTGTCTCTGTGATGGACTGGAGACCTGTCCAGGGTGTCCCCCACCTTTCGCACAGTGATTGCTGGACATTGGGCACCAGTGACCCCCACGACCCAAAAAGGATGAAGCGGGTAAAGATAATGGATGGATGGATGATGGATGGATGGATGGATGGATGGATGGATGGAAAATCAGTTTCATGCAGAGAAAGCTGTTCCGTGAAGTCCGTGAAAATAGCGACAGAGTGAGATCTCTTCTTTTATTTTTTACATCTTCTTCTTGAGCCTTTCCCTTCCGCCACTTCCGGTTCAGATTTACTGTCCCTCCTCTCTGTGTAAAAGCGGCAGTACGAATGAGCAACTATTATCAGTTAATAACTGAATTTATTACATGCTGAGTTTATTACCTGCTAGAGCTGAGAGACTATTAATGAGACAACTGCTGTGCTCCAGTTCAGTTTGGATGTGAGCACTGATTCACTGTACTTTATACTGATTCTTCAGAACAGAGACGTTTTATCAGGAGCACTGAAAAACTACAACAAACTTATTGAACTCGAGAAAAAAAATCCAAATGCACTAAAAAAGTATAAACCAGATGGATTAAGTCCTGAGAAGTTACTTTCTGTTTAAACATGGTTGGAAAATGCCCAACTTCGTCTATTTTGTAAAAAGGCTATTAACAAAAAAGAAAGCTTTGAAATGATTTTTTTTAAAGCTTGAACGTATATGTCTAAATGGAAAGTTAAAACTCAAATTGTTTCAGTTTTTTTGACAAATGAACCATAATGATCTGAGTTGCTACTGAGAGTTCCTGACAAAATACCACAGTCAGTAATCCAACATTTTTCAGTCAGGTCATCTGGATAGTTTTTTTTTTTTTGTGCTGACTTTTGACCAGACAGAAAAATGTTGGATTGTATACCTGGATTATTGAGCATGGACTTTGTTGTTTTCAACCAGTTTGACACGACTGTCAACAAGGAAGAGGACCGGCAATGGAGGAGGGGGCGTATCAAATAGACCATCTTATCACAAACAAAACTGGTTTGTTCCACTTTGGAGTAAACTGTTGGGGGAAGAATCAGTTTTGTTGTGTGTTTCCTTGACTGATGACACCTTCCGGATCGAAGGCGAAACGTTTCAGCACAAAAAAAAAAAAAAACTGTCCAGATGACCTGACTGAAAAATGTTGGATTGTATACATGGATTACTGAGCATGGACTTTATTGTTTTTACAGTCAGTAATGTTGAAAAGAGTAAACCAAATATTTATTCACAAAATAAAATTGTTAACTCTTCCCTGGGCTGCCACCTTACCGTGGTGGAGGGGTTTGAGTGTCCCAATGATCCTAGGAGCTATGCTGTCATGGACTTAATGCCCCTAGTAGGGAAGGCAGACAGGTCCTAGGTGAGGAACCAGACAACGTGCAGCCCAAAGACCCCTATGAAGATTAAAATGAATGGAACCAATGTTCCCTCGCCCACCAGAGAGGTGACACTCCACGTCCCAATAGCTTGCTTCTGTAGCTGAGGATCAGACTGCCAAGGTCCCCGCCCTCAGCCACCACCCATCCCACATTGCACCCAATCTCTTTGGCTCCTCCCACAGGTGGTGAGCCCACAGGAAGGGGGACCCACGTCTCCTCTTCGGGCTGTGCTCGGCTGGGCTCCATGGGTAAAAGCCTGGCCACCAGGCGCTCGCCAACATGCCCCACAACCATGCCCGGCTCCAGAGTGGGGCCCTGGTGACCCACGTCTGGGGAAGGAGCCTGAGTTGGTGTGTGAGGTTGAGAAGTTCCAGCTAGAAATAGTCGGACTCACCTCGACGCATGGCTCTGGCTCTGGAACCAGTTTCCTTGAGAGGGGTTGGACACTCTTCCATTCTGGAGTTGCCCCTGGTGAGAGGAGCCGAGCAGGAGTGGGTTTACTTGTTGCCCCCCATCTTGGTGCCTGTACATTGGGGTTCACCGCGGTGAACGAGAGGGAAGCCTCCCTCTGCCTATGTGTGGAGGGATGGGCTCTGACTGTTGTTTGTGCTTATGCACCAAACGGCAGTTCAGATTACCCACCCTTTTTAGAGTCCTTGGAGGGGGTACTGGAGAGTGCACCTCCTGGGGATTCCCTAGTTCTGCTGGGGGACTTCAATGCTCATGTGGGCAATGACAGTGAGACCTGGAGGAGTGTGGTTGGGAGGAATGGCCCCCGTGATCTGAACCCGAGTGGTGTTCTGTTACTGGACTTCTGTGCTCGTCATGGATTGTCCATAACGAACACCAGGTTCAAGCATAAGGATGTCCATATGAGTTCTTGGCATCAGGACATCTTAGGCTGCAGTTTGATGATCAACTTTTTGTTGTCTCATCTGATCTGCAGCTGCATTTCTTGGACACTTGGGTGAAGAGAGGGGCAAAGCTGTCCACTGACCACTACCTGGTGTTGAGTTGGCTCCGATGGTCGGGGAGGATGCTGGTCAGACCTGGCAGATCCAAACGTATTGTGAGTGTCTGCTGGAATCGTCTAGCAGAGTTTCTTGTGAGATGGAGCTTTAACTCCCACTTCCGAGAGAGCTTCAAACACGTTTTGGGGGAGGTGGGGGACATTGAGTCCGAGTTGGCCATGTTCCGCGCCTCTATTGTCAAGGCGGCTTATCGGA